GCTCGCCACAACAATCCTATTACCCTTTCATACCCCCCGGGGAAATCTCAGAGTGATTTGTACACAGACACGCAACTTAATACACACCTGTTATACAACAATCACTAATGCTAGAACACACACATAGATCTGTATTTAACTGACACAACCTCCATCACACACACTATACAATAAAAAAGATTACAATATACCAACACCAACCACACTGCGCACACACAGAGCACACACACACAAAGAGAGCGCGCACACAGAGCGCACACACACAAAGAGAGCGCGCACACAGAGCGCACACACAGAGAGCGCACACACAGAGCGCACACACACAGAGAACACACACACAGAGCTCACACACACAGAGAACGCACACACAGAGCTCACACACACAGAGCTCACACACACAGAGTGCACACACACAAAGCGCTCACACACACAGAGCACACACACATAGACCTGTATTGTACTGACACAACCTCCATCACACACACACTATACAATAAAAGAGATTACAATATACCAACACCAACCACACCGCACACACAGAGCGCGCACACGCAGAGAGCACACACACAGAGCGCACACACACAGAGTGCGCACACAGAGCATTCACACACAGAGAGCTCACACACGGAACGTGCACACACACAGAGCGCACACACACAGAGAGCTCACACACGGAACGTGCACACACACAGAGCGCACACACAGAGTGCACACACACTGTCTCCCCACATAGCAGAATGTATGAGTTCACACTTTGCGCTAACGAGCGTCGGCGTGCGTTTTAGACGCATTGCGTCACATTGTTTTAATGTTTCGAATAACTTGAACGGATCAACTCACAAAAAAATACATCAGGAGGGACATTTCTCTACACACAGCAACACAACGCTTGGTGTGTACACGTCCCAGTGTGTTCCGATGACTTTCTTCCTCTCTGTGTATTTTGGATGGTTTAAAAATTAAGCAAAAACCAGGTAGGGGCGAGTGACGAGGGACGCCCCGGGGTGAGCCGGACCTAATTCCCATCACGCCTGGAGGTCCGAAAATAATGAGCCGTTTATACCGCACAACAAATTGTATCATTTCCGGGAGACGGGGAGGACCGAGGTCACCTGACGCAGGAAATACAGAACCGGATCATCATCCCACAATCTGGAAACATTTTATTTTGGAATTTTATTTTGTTATTTTGTAGTTTAAAATGTACGGCTTGTGGCAGGAAAATGGAGGGAATTCTTCCGGCACACAAGAGCTTACAATCAAATCTCCTGAAGGATCTCTCGTCCTATTGATCGTTCACCAGCAGACACTTCAGTGCCGCGACAATGTCCAATCCTTTTTGCCGAGAGCCCACCTCCACGCCGGCCACCCAATGCCGGCCACCCAATGCCGGCCAACCAATGCCGGCCAACCAATGCTGGCCACCCAATGCCGTCCACCCAATGCCGTCCACCCAATGCCGGCCACCCAATGCCGGCCAACCAATGCCGGCCAACCAATGCCGGCCACCCAATGCCGGCCAACCAATGCCGGCCACCCAATGCCGGCCAACCAATGCCGGCCACCCAATGCCG